TCCGACTACGTATGTCTATTTAATATTTAATATTGTCCTCGGATTCTTCTTGTTTTTTTTTTCTTGTTTTACTTGATAGATTATTCAGTGTCTTTTCATGTTTTTCTTCATTCGACTTGTTTTTCCTGACGCGTTTTCATGAATTCACCTTGCCTGATTATGTACGTTACCAGCTGTCTTTTATCCTTTTGTTAACAATACACCATCGCTACAAAATGGTAGGGCCACTTAACTACGGAAAATTCACACAAATGGAGAGAAAGTACCACGCATTATGGATTAAGGATTAAGAAGCAAAGAAGGAGAAAAAACGAAGCAAAGAGGAAGCAAAATAAAAGTACAACAATTGCACGTAACCAACAGATATTATAAGCAAAGTCTGTAAAAATAAACAATTAACCAGAAGAAGTGTAGAGAACATATCAGTGTGGCATAGTAAGGCGCATTACAGGTTTTGTTAAGCGTTAGAAAGCTCTATCATCGTATTGACTATTTTCCCTAACTGATCGTCCACAAGCTTTCTTGGGATTTACCTTTATGCTGGATCCTGAAAGAGATGATATGTATGGATCTGTGCAACCACTTACCTAATAATTCGCTGCTTCAATAGGACGTTACTAAAGAAATGAAAGAAATCAAAAATTAGATGAACTAGAATTATAATCCTTGAACTAAGAAAATGTAAAGATTAGAAAATTTACTATAGAATAAATGGATTTTTAACCCGACACTTTTTCGACTTCTTATAAGCGTTATATTTAGCGGATACACGACTTGAGAAGACAACTGTTTTTTAAACAGAATAAGTGACATTTACTGGCTTGCGATTTTCGAGAGTTTTAATATAGACAATGTACCCTTTGACACGGTTCGAAACTACTTCCTCTTTATATATGGGAAACCACCATATAGACCAGTGGGCTTTTCGACAGCACAAGCTTAAAGGATTTCACGGCCAAACAGAGCTCAATTGCCAATATCAATGAAAGCACATATCTCGTTAAGAGATTTCGAAGCCCACGGAAAAGTTTACAATACACAACAAAAATGTTTTTTTTAGGTAATTTACATTAATTAAACTTTTACTGTTCGTAGAACATATATTTAGACATTCAGTCAAATAATCAGAATTTTAAAAATTTCAAAAAAGTATCCCACAAAGAAAAACCGATATTTACAACACATTTTTAAAAAATTTGCAACAGATTTTTTTTTTATAAAAGTGTTCAAATTTTAATAGAATTTTCCAAATTAGGATGGGGTTATTTTTTAGAATCTTTCCGATTATTTTTTATGCTTACTTTTAGAAATGATTAAAAGTATTACGTCATTTTTTTTCTGTCAACGGCCCTTTGAACATTGATAAAATGGGGAAAAGCAAAATAATTCATCTAGACCTCCTTAAACGCACTGTTGACCTTCATACGCATGGACTTGTTTATAGGAAGATATCGAGTCAGTTAAATGTGCCATTGTGTTCCGTTGGTAGGATAGTTCGTCACTGAAAGACGTATCATTTCATTCGTATTTCAAGAAGACAACGATCCTAAACATACTGCAGAGCTTACAAAATCATGGTTAAATTAAATAGAATAGGCATTCTAAAATAGCCAATTCTATCTCCAGATCTCGATCCAATTGAAAATCTATGGAGAGAGCTGAAACTGTGAATTCAAAGAAAGAACCCGCAAAACTTGCATGAACTAAAGGAATTCTGTCGTGAAAAATGGAAAGATATTAGCCAAGAAAGATGTAAGAAATTCGTAGGGAACTACTCTAAACACCTACATGCTGTAATTAGCAATAACGGTTACGCTACGAAATATTAATAGATGATTTAATAATTGTATTGTAAATTTTTACGGTATTAAGTATTGATTATTTTTTCGTGGGATATTTTTATTGATTATTTTTTTATAATATGATTTTTGGACTAAAGGCTTAAACATATGTATTATTAGCAGTAAATGTTTCATTAATCTGTGTTAAAAATAGCTAAAGAAACATTTTTGTAATGTGTTGTGGTGGGACTCTATATGCTAAATTTCGTATCCGAAACGTAGACAAAGTAATTTCTAAGAAATTAATGAATATTTATTCCGTCGTTATTTCTCATTAATATAAACAATTATACTTATTTCTTGACTGAAAAATCTAAAAGCACGGCGGACTATATGTTGGTTTTCCCTATATAAGGAAACGCAGGATCAAACCTGCCCAAAGGTACATTTTCTTCATTAAATGCCATGTACAAACCCACGCAGTTAGACGTCAGTTATTCGGTTTTGAACAAAGATGTCTACTGAAACAATTGTATCCCCTATTTATAAGAATTGTAGTAATGAGAAACTTTACGTAAATCAGAAATATTTTTAAATAATCAAAAGACGTAGATTCTGAGAAAGCCGATTAAAATTTGAGGAGATTTAATATTGCTTGACCATCAGTATGAATAAAGAAAGATGATCGTGTCTTGTGAAATATAATTTTTGCAACATGCTCTGATAAAATAGACCTAGTACCTTTAATGATAGCAACCAAAATTTAAAAAAAGCTATTAAATCATGGTAACTTACAGAAACGTGCAAAACTATTTCATGACATTATTGTAAAAAGGCTCATACTAAATCCTCGATAAAGTAGGCAAATCCTTAGAACATATTAAAACTATTCTTTCCTGAAAATGAAGAAAGATTAGATGAAGGAAATGAGTGATAAACGAAGACAAGAAAGAGTATTAATAAATGAATGGCGAGAGAAAGGAAAGAAATAAGAATTTATGGCTTTAACTGAATAAATGTTTTCTTGCATGCATAAAAGAAGCGCCTCAATGTCTGAAGACACAACATCCCTGCTGCTGCCCAGCGCCATCTTTTGACCAATGCTTTATTTTCTTATTTTATCCTTGTTAAATATCATCGAACAATAAAAGTTGTCTTAACCAATTTTAGTGGTCGAAGTTCAGGGTGAAGAACAGCATAAAGTATTCATTAAAATTTTTGTTCGTATTTTCTTTATTCCCGCCATTTTAGAATTTCTTCTGAGTTGTTTAAAAAAAGCAAAACAACAACAACAACAACAATTGAAACCAAAATCAACAGGAAATAAAGAAACAATGCAGTTGACCAAAATACTAAGTTTTGAATTTAGGTGCAGCTATCGACTTTAATTCTCAAACACATGTCGTCTTTTAAAATCATGCTCACTTGCAAATAAAAAATGTCTGACATTAATATTGGATCGTGTCAGAATGGGTTTGGCCTTAAGTTCACGCCAGACGCCAAGGCAACTGGGTGCACGTGTAGGCTGATCTCTTGTAAGTCTTAGCCACCGAATGCCGAAGTACATATCCTCGCATCTATATTTGGTGCTGAAAGCATTAGAACGAGAAATTTGGGCAAATGGGGATATAAACAACAGCCCCAAACAATCTGGGGACAGTCTTTCCAACACGTGAGTTCCACGTACATGAGCAGTCACCGGTACGAGAGAAGACTGGAACTGCTCGTATACCACCTACTGGCATAAAATAACTGACGAAAATTTAATGGCTAAAATGTTCAGTAGATTCAACTTACTTGTTGTCATTGGACAAGAAATCCCATTTCGTTACTGCTGGAATATGGGGTCTGGCACGACACAAGTGTTTTGTCTTGCCAGACCCCATAGAAAAATGAAAGAAACTTCTAATACAATGCATTCAGGTCCACAGACAAAAATCTATTCATAATTCCTTCATCAGTTTAAATAAATTATCCTAATCCCTTTCTTTGTGAAGGCACTTATTTCAGTGATAATTATTACTGACGGAGATTGAAAGTTTCAAATTAAATGCGAATGGCTATAAGGATTCAGTGATCCACTGTCACATTCTTCGAATGAAAAAGCTATGGAAATGCTAAATTTAGAACCAAGTTGTGAAACAAAAATTATGAATCCATCAAAGAAAGAAACCGTCAAAATGCAATACATATAATGATTAGATTCGTGATAAACAACTCAAGGTAGACAATATCATAAGATGTTAAGAACACACGTTTATAAATTCCAGACGATGTTCAAATACTTGATACTTTCAGGAATCAAGAACAATAGATCAAATGTATTTACAGTTCATTACAATAGATCAAATGTATTTACAGTTCATTGAAAAATTTGAAAAGCAAAGTTTTTTTAATTACTGCATCCTTTTTTATTTTGGTGATGTTTTTATTTCTTTTTTGACAAGATGTAATATTTTGCATTACCAGTTAAAATAACTATTGTGCCAAGAGCTAGTTACTTTCCTTACTATCATGGATGGACATGATAAGTAGTCTTGGGTAACTGTCTAGAAGTACGAAAACAAAGAAGATAATACTATAGACTTGTCTAGCTGAGTAATGAATACTACTATCACGTAAAAAATAATTTTTTTTTTTCATATAGACAGAGATACAATTTTTGAAAATCAGGACCATAGATTTCATAAGTATATTGTTTGTTTTCTGCGCATTCTTAGGAGTGCTCTTGGGAAACATGGTGGATTTAGTTTACATTGGCCTCTCCATAGTTTTCGAATCGGAGTAATGCCATCTAAGGCTAGAGAGCTCAATCTACCCCGATACTTAACCTAAAGATGGAGACGAGATGTATTCATTAATTTTCCAAGAGCATTACTGTGAAATTGAATGCAATAGACTAGGCAAGAAATTAAAGCCAACTCCCTGCGCCAACGATAAGTTTACATTGCCTGAACATTTTGTCAAAATGAAAATAATTTATTGATTCGTTTTCTACGGATTATCAACGCGTTGTACGTTATTTAAAGCCAGAAAATATTTTTACAGTGTAAGAACTTTTTGCGATAATAATGGCTTACTGAGACAAGTCTAATTAACCCATAGTTAGGGGTATAAGAAAAGGGCATTTGCGTGTAAGTGAATCTAACGGGAATTGGAACTTGTCTCTCCCATTAACAATTCCGAGACATTATACATTACACCACTTGCACATCCAAGATTACAGCACTTGCTATTCCCATGCGGTAACCTATCTAGGTACTGATCAGGCTCGACGTTGTTTAACTTCGGCTATCTGTCGGGAACCGGCGTTCCAACGTGATGTAGTCGTAAACTTCAAATTGAAATGCTGACATCATTGCATAAACACATACATATTGTTATGAATATTATTATGTGTATATATTTTATTTGCATTCATATATATATTAAGTAAACAGACAAGGAAGATTGTATAGCGACAGGAATTTCTGGATTTCGTTTTGACGTTTCACTTTTACTTATATAATGTAATCTTTTTCGTTTTTAATTTAACTTTAGACTCCTATGACGGAAAAATATTCTTCACGATGAAATCCTTTTGAACAATATTTGTGAGTTATGGAAATGATGCTATATATATAAAAATGGATATGCTCAATTGAGTAGGTATATAAGCATTTGTTAATGTTATATTACCTCTATGCACATTGGAATAGCAAAAGTAATCTTCTATAAACTAAAGAAAGTATTAAGAAACAGGGAAATTTCTTAGAGACAAAGAAATGAGAGATCAGCTGGTGTGTTATGAAGATTGAATGATTTGGTTTTTACGGTTTATCAACCTTTTACAGATTATTTAAATAATATTGATAAACCGTACCTGATGGGAGAAGAGGTGCATTCATAATTTCCCTAAAGGTATTTGCGTGTAAGGGAATATAACCCGACTAGCATTGGAAGTCGATTTTCCGATTCTCAATTGCTGCAATAGATAACCCGTAACAGCACCTAAACATCCAACCTTACAGAACTTGGTATTCCCATGAAGGGCAACAAACTAGGTATTGACAAAGTTCGACGTTGCTTAACTTCAGCGGTCATAGGAGAAACGGCGTTCCAAGTTGATGTGGCCGTAAAGCTTCACAGATGAAGACTTTGGACTTGATGCAACCTGATGTGATTCTACAGAATAATGATGAAAATACCATTGGCAGAGCTTGTAAGCAACTAGGAAGTTTTAATGGAATCAAAAAAGAACAATTATGCGTAACATCAGAAAGAGACAGTTCGAAAGAAAGCCTGGTAAGATTTAACACATATGACTTATTGAAGCCATGGTAGACAGAAGAAAGCAACGAATAACCCAACGAAAGAGGGAAGAGGATGGATAGTTAAAAAAATTAAACATTGCTTAGAGCTACGAAGGATAGGAAGAGCCACGATTGCCGATGACTTGAGAGGAAGCTGTGGATAGCTATGTCCCTCCCCGACGTACTGAGATGATATAATGCATAAAAGAATTCATCTTGAACAATGTCTGCGAGTTATGAAAACTTGTTTTTATAAGTAAAAAAAAGAAAGAAAAGATTACAGACGATTGAGTAGTTATATGAACATTTGTCAATGATGATATCTAATTATTACCAATTGTGCCAATGAAGAGAAAAACATGTTAGTCAGCTTTTGAGTAAATCTATGGACTCAAGTGGAAAAATAAAGATTTGTTGGGAAGAGTGCCGAGATGATTACGTAACGAACTGTCTGCAGTTTGTTTTTGTACACATTGTCAGAAGGTTTGAATGACTCCAAGGTTGATGGACCAGTTTGAAGTGCACCAGTCTAACAGAAGACAGCACGAAATGCAATGCAAACACAAATCTATATACAAAAACAGCGAAGGTAGAGGTGAATTGATGCACACCTCAACTGACGTACACATAAAGAAATAATATTTTCGGATAAGCAACGGAAGCGCTATGCGGCGTGGTTAATGGCAAATGTCAAGTACAGGCGGCAAATCTTGAATTCTTTCGTGAGTAGAATGGCTAAAACAATCAAGCAGAAGGAGAAAGGTAATAGTATTTTGGTCAGTAGGTATGACAAGTTTATAACAACTATAGAGACTCCATATGCAGAAAGAAGGAAAAAAAATCAATCTTGTATTTTTCTCTTTGCAGGAAAAGAAGTCTGGCTGTTCTTTGAAATTCTGTTTTTCTTGGTATCATAATAATGAGTGCAGTTGTGGGGAACTCTATAAATGAAAGCAAATATGAAAGAAGAAGATTGAAAAGCATTATCCACAATGTAATGTTTCTTTTCTTGAAGATGAAAAATAAATAAAGAGATATAACGATAAAATTTCTCTGGGTAATTCAGGTTAAGTCCGGTAGCGCCATGATTTTAAATAGAATATATACATTTTTTCCTTGGTAAATGTTAGAAATTGGCTTAAACGAAAAAGAAGCGGAGAAAGCAATAAATGTCAGAATCAAATTAAAACAATAAAAAAAAGAGGACAGAGAAAAGCAAGTTGAATAAAGTTTGAGAAATATTACGCAAACCGAGCAAAAGAAAGTGAATGGCCGAGAGCTAAAACAGTCTCTTTACATTGTAAATATAGGCTCTTATATTTTTTCATAGACTTAGCTTTGTAATTACTTACGGAGACAGATTCGCTGAAAATTTACAACAGTCTAAGCAAAGATGTTGCGTCCAGTCAGTATAAAAAGGGATTTTTATTTGCAATGCAAACGTTTGTATCATATCTTGCAAACACATGAGCTTGTAATTACAGAACAGGAAAAAAAGCAGATATTCTATTTGATGGTATATAAACCTCTCCCGTTTTACGCCTACAACTTTATAGCAGTATCAGAGATAGAAATACTAATAGTTTACAGTGTCTGCAATAGCCTATTAGATATCTCAATTTTATAGGACACGGGAGAGAATTTGTAGAGGAAAGGTGGGTTTATATGTTATAAAATAGGTAAAACTTTATCTACTGTCATAAAACCTCGCTTAAGGAAACTGGAAAGAAAAAGAAGAAACAGTTTACTGTCATGATAGAAGGTTTGACACAAGGTCAAGATTATTCTGGAGCTAGGCACCTGTACATGTGGATAGTGTCAGAAACTTTCATCTGGCATTTTCTTTTTAGAGGGCACCTCAGGCGTCAGATATTGATTCTGGACATTATCCTTTAAATGTAACGGGCTCTCTGGAAATGAATCTTGATTACTTTCCCTTCCATGGTCAAAAAGGATGATTGATGGTGTTTAGTAAGCTTAGCACAAATTGTTAAAGCCACAAATATGGGCCACTTAGTGAGGATCAAACTCACTACTCAGGACGTAACTACAATTTCACGCTGGCCATTACTCAACACCAACTTACTCAAAACTGAAAAAAAACTTAAAAAGACAATACAAAATTAGACAAAATGAACCGGCTCCTTTAAGATATAGGAATGGTTTCCTTGATGAAATAAAGCGATACAGTTTCGATAAGTAGAATGTCTCGATCTAGGCCGGTTGATATTGAACTGTTTAAGAAAATAAAAGAAATAGGGATGTTATATATAGATATAATTAAAGCTTTTCGCAGGGAGACTCAATTCAAAATGTAAGTAAAATGCTAATAATGAACCACTGAGTCCGAAAATTTAGCTAAATAGAATCTTTATCGTTTTGTTTAGCCGGAAAAAAAATCGACATTAAGCTGAAAATTTCTCAGCTGGAGACGAAGATTATGACCTTTTATCTATAACATTTTTACTTTGAATTTTTTACAAACTGATACTCATATGTAATGTAAATAATGTCAGATAAGAAAGCGAAAATAAATTTTTGATTAGAAAAAATTGTTTATTCACTTCCGGACTTAATGTCGGCTGAATCGGAGGTATGTGGTTTCGGAGCTTTCTTAGGAAGTTCGAGCTGTTTCTCTCCAGTGCGTTATTGGTGTTCCTTCACTTTCGTAAGTCAGGCGTTCATGTAAGTCATATTATCCAGTTGTCATGTGTATCCGAATTTCCGTTGGTCCAACTTCGTTGTTTAGGCCTTTACGGTGATTGAAATTTTTCAAAAGCCCGATTCTTCACATGATTACTTTGAAATTACCTTATAGACCAACGATCAGAGCTTCCAGGTCTTTTGATTTTCTGTGGGGACACACAGTATAAACGTTGCTATGGTATCTCTTTGGGTGTACGCAATACATATTGTGGTCATGACAGATCATCTCTTCTTAGAACAAATGTTCTTCATGGACATTAAATTCGATTCAGACTTCTGGTATTTTCTCGAGTGAATCCAATAATGTGATATGGGTTACAGAAAATAGTTTACTGACATCAGTGCATAACCTAAAATTATTATAGAAATAAGAAGTAAAAAGTAGATTGAATAGAGTAACATAATGCCAACAGAGATGAAGTTTTGATTATAGTTACGAAAAGACATAGTGATAAGTACGCAAATTATGTGTTGTTGAAAGTAGATATTTCAGAGCACGCCTATTTGGACATAATTTGAGGCAAAGTGGAGTTTTACACTTGTTATAGTCCAGGGACTAAGATTATTCAAGTTCTTAATCAGAGATTTGACATAGGCAAATGGTATATATTGTCGCTATAAAAGAAAAAAAGGAAAAGTGTTTTGATTAAAGAAATCTATCGATTTGGGAGTAAAAAATTTATCTTGAAACATTTATGTCCTGACCAAATATAATAGGAAGATTACAAAAAAACATCAAAGGAAATTTTGTCCTAATCCCTCAAGTATTTTGTCCTTATCAATCATATATTTTGTCCTATTCAAACAAGTATTTTCTGCTAATCAGTCATGTATTTTGTCCCAATAAATCAAGTATTTTGTCCTAATCAATCATATATTTTGTCCTAGTCAATCAAGTATTTTGTCCTACTCAATCATGTATTTTGCCCTAATCAATCAAGTATTTTGTCGTAATCAATCATTTCTTTGGTGCTAATCAATCAAGTATTTTATCCTAATCAATCATATATTTTGACCTAATCAATGAAGTATTTTAACCTAATCAATCATGTATTTTGTCTTGATCAATCAAGTATTTTGCCCTAATAAATAATGTATTTTTGTCCTAATCAATCAAGTATTTTGTCATAATCAATCATGAATTTTTTCCTAATCAATCATGTATTTTGTCCTAATAAATCATGTATTTTGTCCTAATCATTGAAGTATTTTATCTTATTCAATCATGTATTTTGTCTTAATAAATCAAGTAAATTGTCCTAATCAATCGTGTTTTCTGTCTGAATCAATCAAGTATTTTGTCTGAAGCAACCGTATTTTGTCTTAATCAATCATGTATTTTGTCCTAATCAATCGGGTTCTTTGTTTGAATCAATCAAGTATTTTCTCCTAATCAATGAAGTATTTTGTCCTAATAAATCATGTATTTTCTCCTAATCAATCAAGTATTTTGCCCTAATCAATCAAGTATTTTCCCCTAATCATTCGTGTTTTTTTATCCGAATCAATCATGTATTTTGTCTTGATCAATCAAGTACCTTGTGCTAATCAATCATGCATTTTGTCCTAATCAATCAAGTATTTTGTTCTAATCAGTCATGTATTTTGTCTTAATCAATCAAGTATTTTGTCATAATCAGTCAAGTATTTTTTTTCCTAATCAATCAAGTGTTTTTTCCTAATCAATCATGTATTCAAACAGCAAAGGAAATTTGGATACATGATTGATTTATTCATGGACTCATCCGATTTCTACAGCCTATCGATTTCTTTGCAGGTTTATTTTACGCCAGAAATTTTTTAGAATGTAAGAATTTTATTTGGAGGAAACAATGATTTAGTGATATAATTCCTACTAATTAACCCATAGTTGGGGTACTTGCGTGAATATAGTAAACGCAACTGAAATTAGAACTTGGCCCTCTGATTAATAATTCCAATCCGTTATCCAATACACCACCTGCACATTTAAGCTCACAGCACCTGATATTCCCAAGCAATCACCCATGTAGGTACTGATAAGGTTTGACGATACTTAATTTCGGTGATTACACGAGAACCGGTGTTTCAATCTGATATGGACGCAATCCAAAAAAGAATAAAGCATATAAATTTCTTCAATGACGCATTTCTAACTAGTATTTAACGTATCTCTTACAATTTATTGAGTTTTTCTTAAATAGCGAAAAGAAAGATTTACTTTCAGTCGTAAATATACGAAAACTGAATGCCGCGTTAATATCTTTATTGAAATTGTTTCCCAAATATTTTCTTCATTATTGAAAAGTGAAGCATACATCTTTACATGATAGATATTGAACGAATAAAACGAAGAAAGCCATCGAATTGTTTTCACTGATACCTGTTTTAAATATCTCTCTAATAATATATCTTTAGAGTAGGGCTTTATTTAAAAATTTCCCATTGCATCTTCTGTTTTCTAAAATGTATTATCAATATTTTGTACGCATGCGCATACATGCCTGAAAGCATGCTCATTTGAAAATTATATGCCGGGCATAAGATTTGACGTTAGAGTTGTAAAACCCGCCCAAAGGGGCTATCTACCAAGGCTGAAATACATGTTTACATACCAGAACTAGGTAAATGCTTAAAGGTCAGATATTAACGATAAATACTTATGTATATTTGAACCAAAGGAAAGACTCATAGATTCAGAAAAGACAAGTAATATTTACATACTCCCGAACCCAATATAAACGACCAATATTTACCTAATCATGAACAAAGTAAATGCTTATAGACCGAAATATAAATTTATATATTTACCGTTACTGTTACGTAATGTCAGGCCTTCCACACGGGAGTGAATGCTAGACAATCTCCTCATAGATGAAGAGACTTGAAGCAACAAGAATGTTGTTCTACAGAAGGATGCTGATAACATGGCCCGAACATGAATACAGAAACGACACATATATTTAAAATCAGGAAGATACATTTGTTGTTTCTGGGATACATAATGAAAAAGAAAGGCTTGGGACATTTGATACTCACAGGACAGATTGAAGCCATGAGAGACAGAGAAAAACAGAGTATAATCAACCAATCGATCTTGAGTAATTAAATGGCGGAAGAGGTTTTAGGACAGATAACAAAAATACAAAATTTGTGAAAAGCTATAAAGGAAAACATTGCGGAGAGGCATAATCGCCAACGTCCTGAAGGGACACAGTGAACCGAAGAAGATACCAGGTAAATACTTATTAACTCAAATATAAATGATTAATATTTACCTATCACCGAACCAAGTAAATACTGTAGACTCAAATATAAATGTCCGGTATTTAACGAGTTCCGAACGAAGTATATGTTTTTGGACTCGATATTTACCTATCTTTAAAGCAAGTAAATGCTTATAGATTAAACTATAATAAAAATAGTGATTTCAGCATTAAATAACACAAAATGGGTTGATATACTGTAAAATCATTCAGTTTAACCTGCACCAAACCAAAACATTTTTGTATTTCTCGTTTTCACTCGCTTTCTCTCACACACACACACGCAAAATTTTGTGCGCGCACACACACAAGCAGAAACAGGTTTCCATTTTTATAACAAGACATTGAACAAAGTTTCCCTTTTTGCCGAATTATATATTATATATTCTTATAGCACTTATTGACGCTAACTTTAAAATATGCTGTATTCATTTTTACGTATGTATGTTTATACATGAGGAATAAGAGAATATGAAAAAAGAGCTGAGAATCATGGGACTTAAAATATTGATGCTCTATTTTCAGAAATATCCGGCAAATAATAAGATATCTTTATCCCCTGCTGATCATCAACTTCAAAGGAAAAGTCGAAGCTGAAGCTGTTCGTTCATAACTATGTATCTTCTCGATCGATGCAAATCAGCAAGCAGGTTCTGCCCACAAATTTAGCAGCAGGAGACATTCGTCATGTCAACATTTCCGTTGAGAGCCGCTTCGTAATTACACTGGATTAGTCCATCGTTGTCCCAACAACGCTGACAGAGAACCCCGCTCCTCTCCCAATATGCCGTGCACCTAACATTTCTAGTGGCGCACATCCAATGGAATCGAAAATAAAGAGGCTTAATGTCATACTGGAACGAGCGGCTGCGTGCTAAGGAAAGAAGAGAGAAAACTTACTACTTTTACTATATCGCTTGTGATGTGTGCATCACGTACTCTAGACTGTTTCTATTCAGTAGGCATTTTCTGAAAGAAATTCTTTACTGACATCCACATGTATGTGAACACAAATACCACCTCTTGTTCAGTACGAAAAATCTAGTGAGAACAGAATTAATCGCTAAAGATTCAGGTAAAATGGTCGGCTTCGTGTACCACGTGCTATTCTTTACGCTCTACAAGAGCCACGTAAGGCCTCGAATAGAGTACTGCTGTCATATTTGGGTGGTAGCTGCACAGACCGCACTTTCTAGTCTCGATAGAGCCCAAAAGCGTTTCCGAGTCCTTTTGGGTGATGAATTATTTTCCACCTACAAACCTCTTTCTCACAGGCCGGATGTGAGATGCCTCTCTCTGCTCTATCGCTACTTTCACGGAAAGTACTCGGACGAGCTACATCCCTTGGTTCTGCCAGGCCTAACCTTCCCGACAAGGTATCTTCATGTCATTTACATTGTACTAATCAACCGACATTTCCTCCATATTCCATCGGTGAGAAATAAGAGTCATTCGAACAGCTTCTTCTTTGTGGAACCGACTACCAAGGGGATGTTTTCCCCGATCACTGCAAAGTTAACCTGTTCAAATAGAGGGTTATTCATTAGACTTCCTCTCCTATCCGTATAAATTGACTCCTAATATAACCCTCTAGCTCGAGTAGCTCCCGGGCCTTGTACAAGGTGAAGTTTACTTTTAATATGATAAATCCAGAATAAACTACAGTAGAACTGGAATTACGTTCCCAAACTTGTATTGATCAGCGTTGTACTATTTCTATCAGTTGATAATATCTATCTATCTATCTATCTATCTATCTATCTATCTATCTATCTATCTATCTATCTATCGTTTAAATATAGAGTACATTAAATTATACATTTTAAATAGAAACAGAATATGGGAGATATGATGTACAACTCTAAGAATGAGCCGGTATATAAAAGAGACTATTAATGTCGGTCCATTCCCAGAGTTGTTTATCATATCTTCCACATTATATTTCTATCGAGGATGGATCCATTTTTTTTGTATAATCTCATCATCGAGTTATTAATATCTTTCAAAAGAACAATAACTTCATTATATTTTGAGGCTTGCTTTGAGAATGAGTATTTTTCCACTGGCGTTTTTGGACAGTGTTCATGCCTCGGTTAACATCAGGATTTCAAATGTTTATTTATAACCAGTAGATATGTCACATCCTTAGTTTGAGGTTGTTAAAGTGGGTATTTGCGCTTGACTCATAAATAGGCCGCACTATAATCCAAGGAGTTACTTGGCCCTTTTTAACGTAAATATAACTAATATTTGTTAAATATTTTCAAATATTCATCTTTATTTCAAAACTTTGCTTATATATATTAAATCATAAGAAAAGCGTTTATTTATTAAGATATAGTTATTAAACTTCATCAGGACTGAAAACCCAAAATTTTTCTTCGTCATCATCACTGTCAAAGATTCTTTTAATTTGTATTTATTTATCGAGTGCAGTGTTGCTCTGTTTATACCAGAAAATTTGAATACCGATAATCGAAATGTCGGTAAAAATTAATTTTCTCCCTTGCACTCATTTATGCTCAAGCCCAGGGTACTCGCCTGGGCTACCGATACGCCACAGACAACTTCAGCTTCTCTATGATGTCGAATAAATACGTCACACCCTGATTTTTATCGAAATTTTGGTGGAAAAAAGTGCGACCTATACTCGAGTATATACGGTAGGTTAATTTCGCGTGATACAGTACAGCCTATGTACTTCCATATTCTTCTCTAATTTTCTTTGTGCCCGACCAAACATTAAGAACGCCATTTTGAAGGTGACAGGGCATAAAGAAAGCAACAACCATATTCAATAAATATTTAAGTTTTCAGAAGAGCTGGTAAAGTGGCGAATCAAATATTTACCAACCGAAACTAATTCATATTCAAACATTCTGCAATATCTAACAAATGACTCTACTTACTATGACAAAATAAAAGACTCATAAAGACAGTAAGCGCAAATATTTTAAATGATTTTTTAAAAGTAAACTGAAAATTATAAGTCAGTTATAAGCAAAGTCGATTCTTGAAGGTTTAATATGAAAAATGTATTTTATTATAAAGTAAATCACAAACAGAAAAGGATATTGGTAAGAGTGGCCAATGAACATTCCAACACTCGTTGACTTGATTCGAGGCAGTTGCATCGTGCGAAATTAATTTGGAAATTCTTGCAAAAATCAAATAATTGTCGGATTTTAATGAAACTTTCAGAACTTGTTCACAAATGAATGAAATTATTTTTGAAATTATTATTTTTTAGTAATCTTGGTAAAAATACTTTTTTTTTACCTCTGTTACCCCACCCCCTCCACGTAAATCCATGAAATTTTAATAAATTTGTCATTGATAGCTAACTTTTGTTTTATTAGTTCAACGCAGGACTCATTGGGGAATATAAATCATCTATTTTTTTATTTTAAGTTTAAGCGCACTATCCGAAAATCTACTCCGAAGAATAAAATAAAAAATGTAATAAAACTCTGATATAATTTAATTTGATAATCTTTTAATTGCTGGAATAAATAATAATAATTAGGGACATTATAGTCTGAAGAAAAAATGTTTTCGATTAATAATAACATTTTAAAAGAATTGTTCTATTTTTTTATTTTTTTATTATAATAATTATTTAATAATTTATAAAATTTTAAAAATATTTTTAAAATCTTCAAAGAACTTCAGACGAGAAGTCTTTTTAGTTAAGAATTGATGATTATATTGCCTATCGAAAATTGAAAAGTTTAATAAAAACCGTTCTGCAGAAATATCTTTAAAATAAAAAAAATTGTGTGTAAATATGTTCATTTTTATTAAGTACGATGTTCCATAGGAGTCAATACTTAATTATAACA